CACACATACCTACACACACACGCACACACATATACGCCCAGACATGGTAGAGGGGAAAGGGAGATTGAGAGAGAGAGAGAGACCGAACGACAGACAGACACGTATACAGACAGGCAGACAAAGAGACGGACGAATAAGACAAACAGGCAGACAAAGGGATGAAGTAAAAACAAAGCTAACAGCATACAGTTGCCGTCGGGATCATGATAAAACAATACGACGGGAAGCAGAAAAATGGAAACAACTTGCTCGCAGAAGATATGAAATGAGTCTCTCTCCGACAGCGAATACATCTACGCCCTGCTGCCTGAGCCCCCACTCCCTGTGCAGCGAAGGGAAGCGGCGACGAACAGCCACAGACAGCCATCAGACAGACAGCCTTCAGACCGACAGCCAAGGATCCTGTGCCTGATCGTGACGTCACCCAAGTACCACGACACGCGATCGAGTCACGTGGCGGCCACCTGGGCACGGCACTGCACGCGGGCGGTGTTCCTGAGCACCGCCGGGGACTCGCGCCTTCCCGACGTCTTCATCACGCCCGGGGCCGCGTCCTACCAGGAGCTGTGGGGCAAGGTCACGCAAGGTCAGTGGGAAGCGCGTCTGGGGATCAAGGTCTCTTTTGAAAGGTAATTTTTGAGAGCGATTAATTTTCCATTTCGGTGGTAATATAAAATAATCCAAACAATCAAATAAACTAAACATACACATGAACAAATCAACTAAGAAAAAGGGATGAATATCAGTATCAGAAAATTGAAACAGACCCAACGAGTCGAGGAGGTTCTGTGTGACCGTACTAACGATATGGCGACAATCACAACAACAGCCATAATAATAATGGGAATATTAACAATAACTAACAATCAGAACACAATTCACGACTTCCTAACGCGCCCCAGGGTTCGAGTGGGCCTACGGGAACCGCCACGACTTCGACTGGGTGGTGAAGGCGGACGACGACACTTTCCTGGTCGTGGAGAACCTGCAGGCAGCGCTTCTCCGCCTCGACCCCGACCGGGCGCTGGCCACGGGCGTCCAGCTCAGGACCTGGGACACAGTAAGGAACCGTGTGTGTGTGTGTGTGTGTGTGTGTGTGTGTGTGTGTGTGTGTGTGGTGTGTGTGTGTGTGTGTGTGTGTGTGTGTGTGTGTGTGTGTGTGTGTGTGTGTGTGTGTGTGTGTGTGTGTGTGTGTGTGTGTGTGTGTGTGTGTGTGTGTGTGTGTGTGTGTGTGTGTGTGTGTGTGTGTGTGTGTGTGTGTGTGTGAGCGCGACCAACAGATAGGTCTGTGGTTGTCTGACACATAATGACCTTTTCTGTGATCGTGCATTATACCATCCAATTCCCATTATCATTACATAGCTTCGAATGACGAGCACACTGAACTTTACCAATACTTCCACTATAATCCTTCTTCTCTCTTGATGACCACACTGTACATCGTTTACACTTCCATTATCATATCATCACCATACTCACCATTATCATAATATCATCACCATACCTCATCTACACACATCATAATCCCTCCACCCGTTCTCATTATCACATTGTTCTTCATCTATACTCTTATCATAACCATTCTTATTCTCCATTTATTTTTTTTCTTCATTTCAGGGCTCAGCGTACTTCAACGGTGGAGCTGGCTACGTGCTGAGCCGGGGAGCCGTGCGCAGGCTGGTGGAGGACGGCCTCAGGGGAAGGCGCTGCGGGGAGAACCTCAACCTCGGCGCCAACGAGGATGTCAACATGGCGCTGTGCCTCGCTCATTTGGGTCAGAGTCGTTGGATTCAGTGATTTGGTAGATCTGCCCTCCTCATCCCCACCCCCCCAAAAAAAAAAAAGAATCATGCTACTCAGTTTTTACTATTAGTGGAAGGCTAGGCATATGTTGGTACAATATGACAAAGAAAGTATATTCTTTCGTCATGGGCTTTCCACGTGATAATTGGTGGACCATATGAAAACAGCTTTAGGCATATCTGGCAATTGACGTTTATGGCGTGGAGTTCATGCTACTCAGTTAACATTACTATTAGTGGAAGGCTAGACATATGTTGGTACAATATCACAAAGAAAGTATATTCTTTCGTCATGGGCATTAGTGGGGTTCGTGCGTGTTCCTCTCCTTTGACCAGGCTATCCACCCTTGCACCTGCATATTTGACGCTTGTTAGTTTTCACGTCGCAGCAAGTGTATTCGTCAGTAATAACTTATTTAATGAGAGATATTAGCCATAATGAGTTACATAAAATGGTTAAGTGGCAGGTCATTATTAAACACATATAAAGCAAGTTAAATTTATTTAAAGATTTAAAGTCAGTTTTACACACACACACACCACAAAACATACACGCACACACAGACACACAACACAACATACACATACAAACACACAACACACACTCACACACACACACGCACACACAACACACACACACACACACACACACACCCACACAGACACCCAAAACTATTCACACCCACAAGCTTTCACCC